AAGGGATGGGACGTATCAGGGCAAGGTAACATAATTAAAAAAGGAGAACGCATGAAAGGAGAAACAAACAAACAAATAAACAAATATTTACGTGCGATACTTAGAATAAGAAATACAACCAGTAGGAAACAAGAAGGCCCAAAAGTGCCCAATTGGATATATCTTGAGATCTCCGTATCTCAGTACATACATATGGTAAGGTGGGGCCGTCAAAGCCAAGGAGACATACATGACATTAAGAGAAGAGACTTCAGGAAGGCCTTTTCTGGCTTATTTGCCGTCGTCAGCTGAGGATACTCTAATCCAGTGTAGCAGCGGAAATTGCCGCCAAACTTGAGTTTCGAACTCGCATCTCTCCGGTCAGAGGCGAACGTCCTAACCATTGAGCTTTCGGGCCCGAAGTCTTGACGGTTGTTGATCGGGACTATACATTAGTAGATAGGCGAACACCGATCCGTTACAGGGCACACCAACCCTGGTTTTCGATGTCCTGTGTGTCCGACAATTTCCGCTGCTATACTGGAGTAGAGTATCCTCAACTGACGACGGCAAATAAGCCAGAAAAGGCCTTCCTGAAGTCTCTTGTCTTACAGTAAATGTCCTAACAATAACAAAAATGTTACTGAAACATAGTAAGTAACATTACGAGTAGCCATGTGGCACGTTCGTGGGTGCACGGACGCACAGGACATCAAAAACCAGGGCGGGTATGCCCTGTAACTGATCGGTGTACGCCTGTCTAATAACAGAAATGATCATATATATTGCGTTCATACATATATTCTGCGTTCATCATTCTGCGATGACAAAGAAGAAGAAGAGGGGGCGAGTTCTAAGACAGAATCATATTTCAATCTTGCGCTTACTCTTCCTTAATCCTGCACTATGAGTGGGGAACCCAGAGTGCTTCCGAAATGCCGGTCTACATACACTTCGGTCTATGAATCCATCCAGTCTTCTTCATCTTCTTTAGGGGATGGTGAGAATGCTAAGATAGCTGGATCTCTGACCCCAAAGAACCATGTTCCCGCCACCCACCTCCAAGTCATACACTAAATACTTTCCAAAATAATTTCCCCGATTACTATCTAGAAGTCATATATCAGACACCGTATAGGGATCGTTGGGGGTCCTACTGAGGAGCCGAACTCCTAGTTACTGCATCACGCAGCAGCAGAAACAGCGGCAAAACACGTGCCTGGGATTTTAGCTAGTACCTATGTCGGGAGTACGGTATAACCTCTTCGCCATATATAAATATCTGTAGGATGAAGTTGAACCGACAAAGACAAGGGAGACCGGAATGACCATTTCCGGCTTCTTAGCCGTAATCAGTCAGTCACATACAATCCCAGGCATGAATCACACGAGCTTCAAACCAAAGACTTCGGTCATGGCGTACAACACTCTACAAGTGCACGCCGGGTTTGTTGCTTTTTCGGTTGCGATCGGAAATATGATGATCTGGTAGAGGAAAGGCAATGTCCAGTAGTGTCCCGCAGCTCACTATAGAGCCATCGAAAACAGTCACATAGCTGCTTGAAGCTGACGAAGGCAAGAAAGGTGGTCAGGGTTATGCTCGGCTGAATGAAGGTTAATAATCCCGAAATTGTTCTCTATTGAGTTACGCACAAACACTGTTATTCCTCTTTGCTATTATAGCTTGACCGACGCCAGCCTGGCAGACGGTCACCTGTTTGTGACCCTTATTCCCCACACAATTTTGTTTTACTTCAGGAAGCCAGTTGGATCGATGTGGGCCTATTCCTGGTAGAAGAGGT